AAAAAATCCAAGAATGCACAATAGGACAGTGCAAATATGCTGTCATCTTAACATTTTGTATAGGTTAAACCACAGCTTATTATTATTATTGTTAAATTTTTCAAGTTTTGTTTCATGAAAAAACGGAAGTGAATATATATGCAGTGCTTCTATTCCCTACCGCAAAACGTTTGCCTTTGAAGTGGCCGCTTAGCTAGTTTGGATCTTAGTTGAGCATTTAGCAAAAGTTAAAATATAATGCCAAACTTCGTCAGTTGGATTTTTTATTAGATAAGGTAGAAATGAAAGCAGCAGGCAATTTAATTAGCAGTAATTTTTCTGGGCAAGTCATTACTTTGATGAACTTCAGAGCAATGTTTATGGCTCCTAATTAACCATGTTAGTCATTTGATTGAATAATCACTTTGGAAATGTTTCTACAATTTGATTAGAGTCTGACCCACTCTGATAGTCATAAATTAACTGATATCACTTTAGGATAACATGACTTTAGTTACTTTATGGGAATAAGCCTCTTAGCCATATTTTTTCAGGCTTCTCTAGACCATAAAAAGGATACCGATTTAAGGATAGACTGGATTTAAACAATGCTAGCCAAGTGTCTCAATTTTAAGAGCTAGATGTTAATYTCATTTACCCTAGGGTGTAATAGCCAGTAGGAGGAATTGGTAAAAACACAATTATATTCTCATACATGTATTTTTTTCCTAAATTGTTATTCATTGCTTTTTTTTTTTTTTAGAATTTAGATCATAAAATAGGCCTTTGGAAATATAATGATATTGGCATGAGCCTTATTATATGTTTAGCAGTTTATTATGAATTTTAAATGAGTATATTTTAAATATCATAGATGAATAGTTAGAATTTTTGAAGACTCTTACAGAGTAAATACAGTGGAGAACAAATCAGCTAATTCAACAGATACATGAGTGTTASAGTGAAATTCAGCATCTTATCTTTGATGTCATAATCCTTTCCCAGGATTATGTTAGTTTTGTATTATATTAGAACACTTTTATAAGGTGTCCGTCAGCTTTGAATAGCAGATTTCTCAATAACGTTGCATTTTCTCTCTTCCTTCTTTTCTCCCCCTGTGGGAACTGAAGACTGTATTTAGTCACACTTACTGTAATAGAATTTAGCCTATGTATTTTCCTCTAGCCACCTCCAGAGTCAACCAGCTGTTTTTACAGCCGTGTTCCAGGTGTGCAGCAGTCAGTAAAAGTATTTTGTGGCAGGGTGTCAACATTGGTACAACAAAATGCTTGCCTYGGAGCAGCTGTGGAGCTGATGGCTGTCATTAACACTGTCCCTTCCAGCCCAGCTGCTGCCAGCGACCTTATGCCTGGTAATAAATCAGAATAACATGAAAAATTAATTTGAAGTGTCATTGTTTTTAAAAAGTTGGGATAAAATGGATTGCTCCACTATTTAGCAACACAAAAGATCAACTATATTACTACCCTGTTATACATGCTGATATYGGGACGCAGGGTTAACTCTGCCTTGTGTACAGTGAGAATTATATGCTCTATAACACTTTATAAAAAGAAAGCATATTATAATGAAATATTTGATAATGAATTTTATAGTATTTTCAACTTGAAAGATATCAATTCCTTCATACATTTAAATGTTGTTAGTATTATGGATTGCCATTATGATGTTTTTTATCTAAACCATGTTAGATAAAAATTTTTTCCATGAGCAAAATCCCTCATTGTGATTGACATTCATCAGTAGACACCCCTCTCATCAGTAGACAAAGTTTTTTAAATATGTCGAATTTAAAAAATGGAACATTCCAGATCCCCCTGGAGTCAGAAAATAGTGCTATCTATTGTAACAACTTGGTGTATAGCTGGATGGTTATGAAGAGATAAGGGCCTTTGGGTTCCAATTCCTTTAAATGTTTATCATTACTTTTTCAGGGGTCATCTATTTATCACAAGTGATGGCAAAGAAGACTTTTTGTGTCAAGWAGTCCATTTTTATATGCATTTTTAAGCTTATTTTTGTACATGTTGTTAAGAAAACTTTAGTAATGCATACAGACATACAGAAGATAGAAATTATCTGAACACGTTTATACTTTCTTGCAGAACTTGTAGTTGCTATACACTGGGTTGGGCATAGGTTTGTTGGAACTAAAACATGTAAAAATTTGGTGAATTCCTCTTTAAGAAGAAGAAAGTAAAATGGCAAATCCAAAATGAAGTACAGGACCTCAAAAGGGACTCTTACAAAAGTGGAAGGTCCTGAGGTTCACTGCTTCACCATTGATCTACCTCTCTTTATGTGAGTGAACATCTATATTCAGAATCAAGGAACTTGGGGGAAGCTGAAATTGATTTCAGGAATCACCAGACCCAACTCTTTGCTTTATAGAAATATAGACACAAACTAGTCACAGYGGTACACACCTGTAATCCCAGAAGCTCKGGAGGCTAAGGCAGGAGGATCATGAGTTCAAAGCCAGCCTCAGCAACTGAGAGAAACCCTGTCTCTAAATAAAATAGAAAATGGGCTGGCGATGTGACTCAGCAGTTAAGCACCCCTGGGTTCAATCTCTTATAAGAGGGAGGGAAGAGGGAGGAAGGAGGGAGGGAAGGAAGAAAAAAGGAAGGAAGGAAGGAAACATAGACACAAAATGGTTTGTAAAAATTTATGCAGCTTAATTAATAGTAAGAGAATGACTTGAATTTTAATCCATTGTCTCTAATGTATACTTATTTCCTTTCTCCCATTTCTAAACTATTAGACAATTTAAATTTGGAGCCATCATTATGACCCAGGTGTACCCATTACTCAAGTTTGTTTTCTCAGGAATTAAATGCTGTAGTCATGTAGGCAAAGCTTCACACTTAGGGTAATACGTATTTGCTATGAAGTTGCTCTATCTCTGTTTTAGATTCTTAGTGGATTTTAGTTTGATCTATATTCTTAAGATGAAAAAGCCAGTCAATAGCAATAGCAATCACCTTAAAAGTTTTAAGAAATTTAACTGTTTTATTTATTCGTACTTATTTCTACCTTGTGTTCATGAAATAAACTATGGGCAAACCATTTGTTGATTTCTGCTTTGYATATAAGCAGCCAGGAGATACATAAATTTATTATATAAGTATCCCCRAAACAAACTCAGGATACTATTTGAAGAACATTATTACCTTCATGTGGAGATGCTGTTAGAACTGAACCTGATCAAGTTTGATTTTGGTAAACTTCAAATTTATGAGCCTGTCCTGTTCCAGAGAATCAGTGTTCACCATGATATACTCATTCTTCCGTTTTGTTTGTGGGCCCCACTGGAAATGTTGACCATGGGTTGACAGGTTCTTCTCATGGGGACTTGTGCCAGTTTCTGTAATTTTCTGTTTGTCTGCACCCTGTCCACTGACAGCAGTGTCCTTTCAGCTTCAGACCCAGCTTTGACCAATGCTGTTTCCTCTTTCAGAAGTGCCTAGCTGCCACTCCATTTACATGAGGCAAGAAGGCTTCCTGGCTCATCCCAGCAGAACAGAAGGTAAGTCCTTACATACTTTAACTTCTGCATTAATATTGTTAAAAATAATTGGACATTCCAAATATGGGATCATTTAATGAACCATTTATATGCTTTTAGAAAACTCGTTCATGCTCCCTAAAYCATTATTTTAAAACTTTATATTTTTAAAGTAAAAGGAAGTTTTTCGGGTCATGATACCTTGTGTTTGGTTGTTAACGTGAGTCATGTACATAGAAACAGCTGAAAAGTGCATTTCTGTGTTCATTTTTTGCAACAGCCACATTCTTTTGAGCTAAAACTTGTGCTTTATAGATCAGCTCACCTTACTGCACTGCAATCTACTGAAATGATCTTTGAGTAATATTCAGGTTTGCTTTTACAGACTTAAGTCATGGTTCTGTTTCTTGATAAAACATGTAGTTTTAACAATCCTGGATTTTACACAGTTAGACAAGTAATTGTTAAGAATGGGATTTCACATAAGAGGCCTAGAGGAGTTTTTATTGCAGCTGTATTTTGTGGTAACCATGGTGGGAAAGTTTTGCTCTAACAGACTTTGACATCTGCAAAGTAGTAGATAAAAGTGATTCCATCTGGCTATCATCCCCAGGATTTCTGGAAATATGTGAATAGTTCTTGACCTAAACACTGTTTCTTCAGTAAAACCTAGATGCATCCTTTTACATGAGATCTATTATTGGTTATTTTACTTGGATGATATTAATGGAGGTTTAAAGGATAGAATAAAATGGTAAATCCAAAATATTTGAGACCCAGTTTTGCACAAATGCAATGTCATTATCATTGCTGATATTACTAGTATGTAACAACCAAAGAGATTAATACACTTGAGAAAAAAAACTATAAACTATGTGAAATTTCTTTTCTTCTTTTTAAAATTTTTTTATTTATTTGTGTGTGTGTGTGTGTGTGTGTGTGTGTGTGTGTGTGTGTACTGGGATTGAACCCAGGGGCACTTTATTACAGAGCTGCATCACCCAGTTCTTTTTACTTTTAATCTTGAGACATGGGTCTTGCTAAATTGCTGAGACTGGCCTGGAACTTGCAATCCTCCTGCCTCAGTCTCCTCAGTCTTTGGGATTACAGGCCTGAGCCACCATGTACCACCATGCCCAGCTGAAATTTGTTCCTGGTAATTAAAGACAACAACAATTGGATTAAGAACCACAGTCAAGAATATTTGGAGGAGAAAAAATGATTATGGGAAGCTGGAATTTATTTTGAAATTTGTCTGTGGACTAAGTTATGTTACAGCAAAAAAAAAAAAAAAAAAGAAAAGAAAAGAAAGAAAGTCCCCCCAACTATCTTGGCTATTAAAGATGAGATTACCTACCTAGATACTTCCACAAGAAAGTAGGATTTCGAAATAAATATGTTCCAGAACAACGGAGTAATAATGCAAAGTAAATGCCAGTAATTCACTTTGATTTCACTCTMTTCTCATTGAGTAAGGAAACTAAAAGAAACTAAAAATGACTTGATACATTATAAATCCTAGGTTTGCCAATATTTGGGTGACAATTAACTTACATGTGACCACGAGCTAGGCGCCATTCCAAACTTGTATACCTTAAATCATATAATCCTCACAACAACTCTATAAGGTGGTAGATAGATGGTATTACTGTATTTCCGTTATATAGAGTGGAATCTGAGTCAAAGAATCTAAATAAATTTGTCCAGGGTTACAGAGCCAAAAAGTCATAGAATCATTTTCTACCACAATTTTTGTGCTAATGATTATATTYTAAAGAACTAACCAGCTCAATTGGTATCATGAATAAATGTCTCCCATTTCCCCCCACAGGGTGTATGTTTGAAAAGGGTCCCAGGCAGTTTTATGATGACACCTGTGTTGTGCCAGAGAAATTTGATGGTAGGTTTTTCACTGTGCTTCAAATTTTGATTTTTTTTGCGAGAGGGATTGAAGAGATCACCCTTCCTTCTGAAAATAGTTGACATCACTACTTAAAGATTTCTATGCACTTCATTTATCATGTACTCAATTCTAATTAAACATAACTTATTACAAATTCTCTCTTTCTTCTACCCATTAAGAACCTTTTTTTTTTTCTTTTTTCCTATGAGGCAGTCCATTTTGGGAGATATAGCCAACGAGCATCATGCTTGCCGAGTTTGTGTAGAGTAAGAAGGGTCTTTCCATTGCCCTACTGAGCACATTCAGCTTGTTATTTGAGATTTATTGAAAGCTGATCCTGTAATTAACAAAGCAGGGCAGAAAGCATGCTACTGTGGATGCACTGAGAACTTAATGCAAACCCTCCTCTCTTTTATTGTTCATGAAAAGATGCATTATGGAAGACAGAAACAACATAACTGCCCATTTAGTTAGTGATTGTTAGCTCCCCCTCCCCATTTTTTTTCCAAGGAAGATGCACATTACTAATGTAGCATTGCTTTGTAATTGCTTAAAAGGGAGTTAGGAAAGCATCTTTTTAAAAATCACTCACTGCTGCAATGGAAAGGTCTCAGATATTATAAGAAAGTGTCAAGTTAGATAGAATCTTCTTTTCTTGACAAGGTGGCAAAAGTCGGCATTTATGAGGAAGCTTGGGTAAATAGTGAACAGTTAATTCATTTAGTGGTTCTTCAGAGTGGTCTCCATATTTCCTGCTTTGATTGTTAAACAGGAAACGAGCAGGGGCCCTCTGATTAGCTGATTGCACAAACTTTGGGGATCATGGCTATAATGACTTGGGAGCTCTCAGAGTTTTTAATTGTCATTATTTAAACAGCAAAGTACATGCTCAGATTGCTTTTCAATCTCTAATTAGTTACTTGAAGTCTATGTTCCCAAGCTTTTGCTATTCATTCTTTCATACCATTCAGAAGGGATGGTGAGTCTTGGGAAAATACACTTCCTTTACCTCCTTTAAATTGTTAGATTTATTCCAAAGTCACTTTTGGGGTCACTTTTTTGGCTTTATTCTGTAATAGATACTTTAAGCCTCGTTTTATATGTGAGAACTGGCTATTTAACACCATTAGAAGAACATCACAATTCTTAACATATAGCCTTTTCTTTCAGGAGAAGCTTAAAGCTTTTACTTGTAGGAATGACCTTTGTCAGTTTCTTTTGTTTGTGGTGAGCTTCATATTTTAAGTCATCTTAAAATTAGTAAGAACACATGAGGAGGAAAACTATCTTAAAGCTAGGGACAAGATTATGTTATAGTTTTACAGGTCCAAATTACACTGATGTTTAGGGAACTGGCTGTCTTGATTATTGATTCCCTTTGACTTTTAAATATTCTTCAATTTTATACTAAGAAAACATTGTTGAAAGATAGTATTTGCCATGTAATGGAGAACAAGAAGAAAGAAAAACAAGGGATTATTGTTTCATTGAACATGGTCAGTGCAATCAGTCACATTTATAGGCAGAAATGCTATAGAAACAATAAAAATGTAACAGTGTTTCATTCTGTGTGCATAATTGTTTAGTTACCCTCATGAAAAATTTTTATAAATCTCATAATAAAAAACTAAGATAAATAAAACTRTCTTTGAAGCCAATATAAAGATACACTCCTGTATTATCTAGTTTAGAACAAAACAACATAATGATTTTTTAGCAATTAGGGACTGAATAACTTTGCATTTTGGTGTGCAATTCTTTTAAGAGTTATATTTCTCTCCACAGACCCCCCCCCAAAAAAAAATTAGAAAGCTTATGATTTGGTCTGTTTTAAAATTCACACTAGTGTCAATAGATCCACTTGAGTGTATCCTGTCTGAATTGTTTCTTTAGTGGAGAAGAAAACTTCATGCATTAACAATCATGTACTCATTTGACTGTACACACTCAGCCCCCATTGTGACCAATTCCACATATTTTGAGACAATGGACTGGAGATAGCAGTAAATAATCAATGGTTATGACACTAGGTGTTTTGCTTTGTTAAGCCAAGATAAATGACCAGATTTATAGAAGAAGCATTACAATGCTAAATAACCTTCATTGTTATTTACTAGATTTTTATACTATATATGAATGCCAAATGAATCTAAAATAAACAAATCTTCTTGCTTAAAAATAGCTTTTTTCCACAGAAATATCTGATGTGCRTATTTTTAAATTGGCAAATTCATATGAATGAAATACAAATAAGAGTTAAAGAAATATGAGAGAGAATTTTTATTTGTTGCCAGGTAAGAAAGTGATAATTTCTCTATGAAGGTATATGAAGGTGTGGAAGAAAGATGGTATGATGAGGATCTAGTATGCTATGAATTACCCAGGAGAGTTTTCTAATTTATATAAAGTGCACATTACTTAACTCAGAGTTTATGAGTCTATTACATTTGCTTTGAAATATGTGCATTAAAATTTTCAATAGTTTGTCATGCATAGGTCAATAAGGTATTTGCAAATTATAGTTTGCACAATTTAATTTGTACAAATAAAATGCCCTGAGCTTAAAATTGATTACTCCCTCTTCAATGTTGCTTAGAGAAGTGAGTAATATCATTAACAAAGAAGCAAATAAGTATGATTAGGTACTATGGTAATTATTATTGTTGTTGTAACTATATTTGCTTGTAGTGCTGGGGAACGAACCCAGGGCTGCATACAAGTTTGCTAGGCAAACTTTCTACGGCTGAAATACATCCCAGTCCCTTATATCATGTTTTTATTTTTTAATTTTTATTTATTTATTTTTAGTTATACATGACAGTAGAATGCATTTTGATATATAATACATACATGGAATGTACATACATCAATCATATTGTCTATTCTATTCTGCTGCCCTTCCTATCCTCCCTACTCCTCCCCTCCTCTCCCATCCTCTCTCTATCCAATCTAATGTGACACCCTTTTTTTTCTTTTTCTCATTACAACATCATATATGTATTCTGTATAACAATGTATATCATGGTTTTTAGAGAAATCAATGAAAAAAAAGTTATACAAAACTTTTGTAAGCAAATGACATCCATGGATTTTTTCCTGCACCTTTTTACAATATTTTTGACGTGAATGTATTACATATAGTTCTCTGTAAGTTTGTACAGATTGCAGATTTAGTCAACCATTTAATTATTTTAAATCTTTATTTAAGGGTAACATTATATTTCACAAAGTGGCTGTGTTTAGCCATTTTCTTCATTGGTTTAATAAAAAGTTTACATAAATAGCATAATATTGATGCTAATGATGAACCTTTAAAATTTTTAATTTAGGGGATATCAAACAAGAGCCAGGGATGTATCGGGAAGGACCCACGTACCAACGGCGAGGATCACTTCAGCTCTGGCAGTTTTTGGTAGCTCTTCTGGACGACCCTTCAAATTCTCATTTCATTGCCTGGACTGGTAGAGGCATGGAATTTAAGCTGATTGAGCCTGAAGAGGTTGGTTTAGTAAATTTTATTTAGGAGACTAAGATGTGCTATGATGTAAAGGAGCTGATATATTTGATWAATATGCTAAACATGTAGTTTTAAAACTCTGGATACCTTTTGAATTAGACAGTGGGACAAAAAAGAATAATGTCAACATTTAAAACTACTAATTTATTCTATARTCTTTCCATTGTAATACTGTCCTACAGAATGTTGAAGAAAATCAAACAGAACACCATTAGCATGGCTCTTTATTCAGGAAGGCCAAACTGGAGAAGTCTCTAAAAGAGCATTTAATTTGGGGAAGGAGGTAGGAGGTTTCATGGTCCTTAGGAAAGAAGGGAGATGTCTGCTGAGGCGCAACTAATTTTGTAGATAGAGGAATTGTTCTTTTGAATTAGCAGTCATTATTTGGACAATCTGGATTTTATCAAGAGGTTTGGAGAGGAGCATTTAAGGACCAAAGTCATGCGTAAGGTGGAGGTGAAAAACAGCTAGGGGGTGGGGAGAGACATCCAATGCCACAATATACAGTGGAAAATTCACAGACTTAAGAGTGTTTTACAAGACACAGGCTTGGTAGAGACATTGTTTCCTTTTGAATGTTAGTGATATCTGTTTCAAGTCATCTGGACTGTGTAGACTCCATTGGAAAGTAGGGATAAACTTTAAAATATTGCTATAGTATACAAGGGATTATTAAAATGAGACATTCTGGATAGAGATAATATACATGTAAGGAACAYGCTTTCAACCAAGTATTCAACTGTCTCTCAATCCTGCCTCCTTACCTTGCAATGCACACACAAATCAAGTATTTTCATAAAGAATCACAAATGAAGTAATTCCATGAAGAGCTCCTAAAATTAAAATTTTCTTTCCCCCAGGACTTAGTTTAGGTATAAGTCTACTGTAGTTACTATAGCATAATCCATCCATAACACTTTGGACCTCCAGGGAAAGGTGACTGACTATTCAATGAAATTTTTGTTTTATTAAAATGCTTTCTCTGTAATTTTAAAAATTGACTTGAGTTAATATCAGCCAAGAAAACCATGGAAGATTTTTGGCTGACATGCCTGTGACTGATTTTATTGGCTACTGAATCTAAACACCTCAGCAAAGCTGAACAATTTAGTAAGAGTTAAAAATTTTTGGAATCCAAAGTGATTTGTTTAGACACTGGATATCTATAACCTGGCTACTGGGCCCATATATCTTAAATGTTCTGGGTTTATTATTTGATATATTGAACATAATCAAGTAATATGCCCTTTTTTGATGTTCAGAAGACAAAATTACATAACTTATTAAGAGATGATTTATTGCAAGAGTGTATTTTAAAAACTATGAAATAAGAGGAGCTCCTTAGTACGATTGTATCCTCTGATTTACATCAACACACCAGTTGTACTAGAGGTTCGATTTTTGCAGTATCTCCCTTGCCTCACACCAAACACACACACACACACACACACACACAGACAGAGAGAGAGAGAGAGAGAGAGAGAGAGAGAGAGAAAGGGTAGCAGAAACTGAAAATGCCCCTTATTTAGAGTGGAATAAGTGTTTGGGTGTTTAAATTTTGGAGTCTGTCTAAAGCTCAATTTGGCTGTCAAAGAAAATTAGTTTTTCTGTAGATGTACTTAAATGATGTAAGTGAAATAACCACAAAAATGTGAAGCAGTAACAAATTGAGACTAGAAATGCTTAACAAAGTAATTTGAAAGCCCTCTAACATGATGGGAGAGTGTGCTCTTCTCTTCATGGAAGATGCTAATAATCGCTGTAAGACTTGATTCATGCAGCAACTGAGCATATCCAACAGGGATTTTTAGTAGTTAAACAGTTATTTCCCTCTACCTGTGATTAAAATAAACTGAGCAGAAATAGGACTTTTTAAATTTTGTCATGTATTTGTTAAGATAAGGGACATTACTGAATTATGTCAGTAATTCTTGATCCACTCAGAAGCATAAACATTCTGCAAGTGATTAAGTTCATTTTATAACAACTATTGACCTTTCTGATGCTTGAGTTTGAATAACTGGTAGATGTGACCAGATGACCATTAAGTTCCATCAAATTCTGAGGTTCTGTGATTTTTTTTTAACACAAAGAAGGAATATAGTTACATCTGTTATGTACTATAAACCGACATTTCAACAACTTTTCTGTAGCAGACTCATAAAGTTAAAAAAAGGACTGGGTAATTCAGAGCCAGTAGACCATTTACAAATGGTAACTAACTCAATGGGAATTGTGCAATAAGTACTGAATATTTCCTAAGGCTTTTGTTCAAAATGAAGTGAATCTCATTTCTGATTGCTGCATTGCTTACTGTTGGAATTGCTTCCATCAGGCAATGACTGTGATGCCTTGTTAAAATTTCTTCTTTGTAACAGGTTTCTGAAATTTCTTTAGCCTGTGTGGCCCATAGTTCCCCTCTGCCCTTACATGGCAGCTCTGTGTACATGTMTGCACAACTCAGGAAAGGTGTCTCCAAAATCTTTGACTTGTGGCTTCTGTTTTCTTTACATTTCATCTAGATCTGTGCTGATTATCTGCACAGATAACTTTAGCAAATTCATAATCTTTGATATCTCTTTTTGAGATATTTGAGATATTATTTTCAAGTTAATCAGTAATCCTAGAGAAATGTTCCAGGAAAAAGTATTGCAATAATTAGTAAGGCATCTATGAGACTCAGTGTCAAAGTTTTTTTATAATAGGCAAGATTGTTGAGCATCAGGATGTCTGATAGCTGGGACCTCGTTGTGATTTCCATGTATATATACACAGGCAAGTCTTTTTTAAAAAGTTAACTAATACTTGTTCTATTACATTATCCTGTTTAATTTGTGGAAAAATAAGGAGGAATGCCATTGTGCTACAGTTTGCTCTCCCCACTAACACCCTAAGTTTCTATTTGAATGAGTGTAATAAGGAGGTCTTGAAAGTGTTGCTTCCACCTCCCACTCCATGTTGACAATTGTGCCTTAGCTTCAGGTGGTGCTGGATACCATGTATGGCACTGGAAGGTCACAGGTGGAGACTGAGTGGACTTCCTTAGCTTATGGGTGGTCTACCTGGCCTAGGAATTTTTTGTGTTTTCTGTTAATTTTAAGCTTCTTTCTTGYCTGAATCTCATAGGCTTATTTTTTTGCCTCATTCCCCTAAGCTTTGTGAAGAAATGTCACTAAAACAAGTCTAAGAATGCCTTGTAGTTTTCTTAAATATGGACTAGTACCCACAGTGATGAGAATTACCAGGTCTCATAAGAATCAAACTCTGTAAAGATGGAATACTCTTTTGTGGTATTAAGAAAATCATATTTATCTCCCCAGAGATCTCCAGAATGTCCTCTTGAACTTTGTTGTGGATATTTTATTTTCCAGGTGAATCCTGGTGAGGTTTTAGAAAAGAATCATTTATAAACGAATAATTATTCCTCAATTGTTCTTTAATTTAAAGAGATAAGCATTTATTTTCACATCTCCTCAAAGTTTGCATGCTCTTCAGCTGCCATGTCTATTAAAGATTCACTGATGTCTATTGTGAAGTTTTTAAAAGATATTTTATTTAGACAATACTTTCATTTCTTAACACTACTTTTCCCCACACCATTTTAGTATTGCTCAGAACCTTAACATTAAAATAAAGTTTAATTCTGGAAAACTAAGATATATCTGCCACTGTTATTGGCAGCTTGGGTATGTAATCTTGTCCCTGTGATATCATGTCTCTCTACCCTGAAAAAGTATACTGATTCATGTGGCTAAAGTACATCTTCATTGAGAGCATACAAACAGCAGAGAGAAAAAATAGCAAGGATGGGTATTTTTAAAAAAAAAAAAAGAAAGGAAAAGAAACCCTGGAAAAGGTTGTTGCTAATGAAGTGGAGACAGACCGAATGATCTCTTAGAAAAGCTATTTTAGTATATATGACGTAGCAACAACTCGGAATTTCATGGAAACGAAGGAACACACTAAACCTGTTAGATAATGCTCTCTTGGGGTTGCCTAGGTTTGCATGGCAGCTGCAGTTTTTGCTCAGACTAATAAAAGTGGAAATGAATGAGAACACTTTAGCTAGGGAAGGGAAAGCAGGCTACACAGTATTCTGTATAAGGCCTCTGCTCGCCCAGCCTAGTAGTAAGGTTAGGGAGGTGTGTACATTGAGAAAGGAGGTGTGTTTTTAAAGCTCTTTGAAGAATTCTGCCAGAGTCACATGTTCAAAAGCTCTCAGAAATTTTAGTAAACAATAAGGCGAACATTCTGCTTTAAAGATATTTGTTTGTGGACTCATGCATGATGACCTTTTCCACTTCCTTCTTATTTTTAGCATCCAACTATGTATGAATGCTTGATTCTCCTGTTTGGTTTTGGATGCAATTTTATTATGATGCTGCTTCAGGCAATAAAAATTATTTGTAGTTCGGTTTATTAATTTGTATATTTCTCCTTCTGCTATATATATTGCCCACTTGTTTATTCTTTTACATAGAGTTACATAGAGTTCTTTTACAAGACAGTGAGTGGGGGATCGCCTTCACCAGCAGGATATCTTTTTTCTTTGGTTTATCATAATTTCAATAAAACACCTTTACAAAGAGATCATTAAAGCAGCTTTTAATCTATAGTTTGGTTTGAAAAACTAAGAAAGAAAAAAAATAGTGTATCTCAGAATGGAAAACTTGCCTCATTTTGGTGAATTGCAGTCTGTTCATTCTGTTGTAAACACATTCCCTTATTTCCATTTAATTTTGTATCCAAAACAATAGTGACAAAGAATTCTATTGTGATGTTTCAGAATGATCACTGCATGCCTGGTTTAAAAAGCAAACCAGGGCACAGGAAATTCAGATCACGATAGCTTTTGCTACTTGTATCTTTGATTTGAACAAGTTTGGGTGGGTTTAGAAGTAGTTAATTACCTAATTTTTGTGAACCTTTGCTAATCCTTAACACTATAATGTAATTTTGTTCTGGTGGCAGGTGGCCCGGCGTTGGGGCATTCAGAAAAACAGGCCAGCTATGAACTATGATAAACTTAGCCGCTCACTTCGATATTATTATGAGAAGGGAATCATGCAAAAGGTGAGCAGCTAATACAGCATTAAAATTCATTGAAATGTTGCACATTAATCTGCATGTCATACTTTAAAAGCCACATATCATTGCATTGCTGAAGCAAGGTTTTCACTCATTCTAACAAATGCTTAGCTCTTGGTTTTGGTATTCTAAGCCTTTCTGTTTATAAATTCATGGACAKTACATACAAATGTGTAATAATATTATATATAAAGTAATAGGCTTTCTGGAAGTTTCCACTTTCCTACACAGAGTAAAAAGAAAAGTTATATCGGTATTGATGCTGCATCTGTAACTCTCCAGAGGAAGTTGTTATTCTGTAGCTTTCTCCACAACTTTGTGTTTTTGAAATGTTTGTTTATAAATTCCAATGCAAATAAAGGTTCTTAGGCTAATGAATTCTTTCTTTTTCCTCCCTTTTTWAAAAATGTTCTGATTCTTAAACATTCAGATATTTCTTATACTCATTAGGAAAAATACTTTTTCTTCTGGCTGATATCTTGCCTGGCTTTGTCACCTAATAGCCTATTATGCTAAACTACTTATTCTTGGTCTTATTTGGTTGGTAGAACAAAGTTTAATATATGTCGTTTTATCCCAAATGAGCTTCCTTTAATATTTGAAAGTAACTTAAAAATACAGTAGAGATAAGTGAATCATACAATAAAATATAAAATCTTTGAAGGAAGCAATGAATAAAGATTAAACATTCAGATATTTGTTATGATGTCCTTCTGCCTTGTATTTGTATTCAAATCTAATTGCCTTGTTGATGATTTATTCATTGTGGACATTTCTGTTTTACAATTTATTCTTTGTTTATTTGGGAGACAAACATAGTTACATGTTATAGATTGTGGCATATTTTTATGGCATCATAGTTGTGCCAAGAAAAACTGGCAGTCGCTGCATAAAATTTAATAGAGGGCAGTAGGACTATTGAGTTTTCTGGAACACAGGGAATTGGTGCTCTGGAATTTGCCATCTCAGAAGTTAGGACTTTTAAAATCCTTATAAGATAAAGTTGAATTGGATTTTCAATTGCTCCCTATTTCCTGAATCTTACCTTCAAAATATGTGACTGTTTGCTGTCTCCACACCCCCACCCCGCCTCCATACTCAGTTTGTAACCCTATCCTTTCACATACATCTTATTCTTCATTTTCATTCCCCTCCTCTTCATATGGGAGCTCAGTACCAGTCCATCACAGTTTCCCTGGGCAGCACTACAAAGTAGTGAAGGAAAGTACAGGCACATTTAGGTTTCAATTCTAGGGTCACTTTCTTGAACAGATTCTTTTACTAAATGGTGATGTTCTTACATCATTAAAGTTGTCATGATTATTAAATGAAAAGTACTTGAGATACTTTGCATRGCACCTGGCATAATTAAAGCCTCTATAAAATGATAGATGCCTAGCCTAGCTTACATCCGGAAGTCATGGTAAGCCAAGGCATGTGTGGTTTGTCTAGACCATTAAGAGCATTCTCAGCTAAAATTATTATAAGACCCATAATTGCTCCTTTGGTTTTAAACACAGTATTTGTATTAGCTTTCCATGTCGATGAAAAATACCTGAGGTAATTCACCTTATAAARCCAAAAGTTTTATGGTGGCTCACAGTTTTAGAGGTTTCAATCCATGATCAATTAGCCCTCTTGCTTTGGGTTTATGGMAAGGCAGCATATCATGGTAGAGGAAACCTGCTCATCTCATASCCAGGAARCAAAAGAGAGAAAGAGAAGAGACTAGGGTCTCACTACTCCTTTAAGGCAGGCCCCAGTGGTCTAAAGAACTTTCACTGGGCTGCACCTCTTGAAGTTACCACCACCTCCAGCAGCAACATGTGTGGGACCAAACTTTAGCACATAGACCGTTGGAGAACACTTAAGATCCAGACTATTGCAGTGGTAGACAGGGATTTACAGAATGTTGTACCTGATCTTAAATATTCTCAAATATGTTTAAACTTATTACTAGTAGGACCACTACTGATTCCCATTTATTTGTTGTCTTATTCCATGTCCTCTTATTTTAATAAGTTAATAAGGCAACATGCTATCACACAATGATATAGATCCTGAATTATACTAGTAAAAATGTCATTGTTCCTCATATTTTCCCTTGGTAGGCTATAACTGCCAATGAAAACTATTTACCACTAATTTATAAGTTAATTTAGGAAAGTAAAATGCTAATTATGACAGACCTTTTGAGSTGTTTCTTATGACTTAAAGAATGGCAGGATGCTCTATAGCTCAGTGCAAAAAATGCATTATATTCATGGCTAGCACAATGAGGACACTTACAAGTTTAATTGTGAAACTTATCCCTCCTCCTCATGCCTATATAGCCATTCTGTGTCTGGCTGTTGGTAGACACATCTGTACTCCAGTGCATCACTCACATTCTTTCTAGAATGTTCTGCCCTTCCCTCTAACTTATGCACTGTTCTGTTGATTAAGTCAATTCYAGTATGTTCATTCAGAGGAAAACTGTGCCATCCTTTTTATTTTTTTTAAAAGATGTAGAATTACATACTTCAACATGTAGGGGAAATATTTACATGACCATGTTTATTCATTGACAAAACTCAATGAATTGACAGTGGGCATTATGTAGAGTACACACATACAACACACACACAATCACACACATACAAACAAATTAAAAGGCTAGRAAATAAAATAAAAATAACCAATGAGTCTAAACATGAAAAAAAATTTAAAATTAAAACTGGTAATTAATTTCAGTAGTTATGAAAGAAAGAAGAAATGTTGTAGTAATGTTCATTGTACCTAGACAATAGGAGTGCTCTATTTCAAAATTTAGAAATGCCTAGAAAAATATATACCAACATTTTAAACAGTGACTATATTCTGGATGATATAATTAGGAAGCTTTTTTTCCGCCTTGATCTGTCATTTCTAATTCAGTAACCAATAACTCTGAATTACTTTTGAAATTTCAAAAGCTAAAACATAATTCAAATATTTAACCTTTGAAAGTACAGCTTACAAAGATGCCTCCTTGTTTTCATCTGATTCATTTGCCCACAAAATCCCTGTTTTTCCTCTCTCAGTATTGTAATTTGGGGACACTTAATGTACAGCCCTTTTCACATTGTGATTGTAATACTAATAATGGAAGACATCACTTTCATTGTTTGGATGTCAGCTCTTGTTCTAAACTCAGCATCACTTAATATAGTTCAATAAATACAGTAGTCAACCTAAAAATGTTTATTCAAAATAAATAAAGAAATGAAAGAAAAGAAACAGGAGGAAACAGTGAGTAAAGACAAAGTCCTTAAGAGATTTTATAATCTTGATTGCATATTATCCATTTAAATTCCCTGTGGTGAAACCTTTTTCATTTATCACATCACTTCTAATTATAGCCAATATATCAACATGTTGGACAGAAAAGCAAATATACCTAAATATATACCTTCTTTCTCTGAAGCCCCAAACAAAATAAAACAGGTTATAAAACACTCAAAGGTATGCAGGCCATATACTTTTTTTTTTTCCTTTTTCCCTGCAAATACTTTGAACAATGGAGGGGGAAGAAAAGGAAAACTCGTATTTAATATTTAAGGTTGTTTCTGGTATTTTCTACTTATTTTTTTATGAAAATTTCACCAGTTCACCTTTAAGAAATTAATTTCCTTTGCATAAGGCAGGAAAGTAAATAATTATGTGAGGCTTCTGTTTGCAATGCACTATGCAAGAGGCTTTCCTCTCAGTCCCACAGTGGCTTTCCAAGGAGCCATTCCTGTTTCCATTTCACAAGGCAGGGAACTGAGGAGTGAGGTAAGCAACATGTCCAGATTCATAAACACTACTAAGTCCTGGCTCTTTTAAAACTCAGGCATATTCAGCTTATTTGAATTTGCTAAAGTGGTTCCTCTTATTTAAATTTGGGGCAAAAAAAAAAAAAAGTTCTGAAACGGAGTTCAGAGGAGCAAGACTTTGGCAGTTATTCTTTTTCCCCAAAACTTATACAAATAGTTTAGAAACCGTGAACACACTGTTCCCCCACACCACAAATCCAATAGCAATGTCTTTTTGACACATGGGAGCACAAAGACATTGAGAAATTTTCAGCTTTCTGAAATTATGAGCTACACACACACACACACACACACACACACACACACACATATACACACAAAACCAAAGTGAATACAAAGAACTATGAATGTGCACCCCTCCCCTGGTGTTGAACATGTCAGCACTATTTTTTAGTGGGAGCCATATTTGTCTCCTTTGATTGCTTATAATTTTCTACAGAAGCATTACTCTTCCAAATTTAAGTTTGAGGTATGTCATTCCCTACACATTACGGTATGTCTCTTTTATTTCAGGCAGTTGTCACATTTCTTTTTCTCATTTCCTCTGTATGCGTTGTATATTTTAGATTCCTTTCACTTTTTTACACCTCTTGCTTCAATTTGACACTTTACACACATCCTTAAGTTCCATCTAATGTATCTTCCCTTCATTTTTAAAAATGTGATGTACCCACGATAATGCTGTCCTCTTGATTCATCTTTCATTTAAATAAGGCAATGTATCTTTGCTTTTTTWGATGAGAATACACAACACAAAGCAGGAGGTGGGGGATATTAGGAATAAAACACATTTTTCTTTTAAACTTTCAAGGCTTAGTTTTTCCATTGTTCTCAAAATGGAATATTGAGAGGGAGATACCATACCTTAAAGATATAAATTTTTACAAATGTAGATGTTGCCTTCAAATGAAATAAAAAATTTTCCAATGCRAAATGCTTGCATGAGATCATTGTTTTTAAAAAATAACAACATAACTTTGCTTTTATATTAAAACAAGCAAACTGCTGAAATTCGTAGTTATATCTGAATGGATTAACTATTACTCCGTTATCATTTTGTATTTTCCTTGATTGAATCACAATTTATTGTAAAAACGAAGAATTTTTTTTAACTTTGTGTGTATACCTGCTATGTATTGGGTTGCCTTTGTTCATTCAACTTTCTCCTATAGTAAATCATTTTTTCCCCCTTCCTTTCCCCTCCCCATCTGGGGATGGTGAGGATGGGCTTTTTTCTCCGTGTTCTCATCAGGTGGCTGGAGAGAGATATGTCTACAAGTTTGTGTGTGATCCAGAAGCCCTTTTCTCCATGGCCTTTCCAGATAATCAGCGCCCACTGCTGAAGACAGACATGGAGCGTCACATCAATGAGGAGGACACAGTGCCTCTGTCTCACTTTGATGAGAGCATGGCCTACATGCCTGAAGGGGGCTGCTGCAACCCTCATCCCTACAACGAAGGCTAYGTGTACTAACATGAGTGACAGTCAAGGGGGCATCCTCGTGCTTTCTCTCTTTCTGCGAGATATAGAGAATCACTGAATTCTCTTCAGTCTTTGTTTTATTTTTGTTGTTTGTATTTTATTTTAAAATAATAATACAAAGGGGGCTTTTCCTGTTGCATTATTCTATGGTCTGCCATGGACTGCGCACTTTATTTGAGGGTGGGTGGGAGTAATCTAAACATTTATTCTGTGTAACAGGAAGGTAATGGGTGAATGGGCAGAGGGATTTGGGGATTACTTTTTACTTAGGCTTTGGGATGGGGTCCTACAGGTTTTAAGTATGAAGCTATATTGTGTCTGTCGATTTCATAATAACATAAGATAATGTTCATTTTCTCTGGATACCTATGGTACAGTTAATTTCACATTGTGTAAATATCCACTTGGAGACTATTTGCCTTTGAGCATTTTCCCCCGTCATTTCTGAGGCTCTGCAGGTGTACAAAAAACCTACTGTAAATGGCAGTTTAATTGTTAGGAATGACTGTTTTTGCACCTCTTGTAAAAAGGTGTTTAGTGATTGCATTTGCCTTTTGTTTTATTTTGTTTTGTTTGCTTTATATATGACTCGTAGAGGATAACCACGCAAGTGGGCAGTTCTCTCTGAAACTGAGTAATCACCATGACTGTAAATGAGGGGCACAGTTTTGGACTCTGGCTCCAATCTGAGCCATAGGCCAGTAGCATTACACGTTATCTGGTGCCACCTTGCTCTTTAGTTACATATCATACTGTCTTTTAAGTATTTTTGAAGCCTGTTTCAGTTAAATAGTGACATGTCATGGTCCTTTGGAATCTTCATTTATATGTTAAATCTGGGATCACAATGAAGCAAAAAATATCTGTCTCCTTTCTCTTCYTCCAGTACATAAATACATTATTTAATCAATAAGAATTAACTGTACTAAATCACATATTATGCTGTTCTAGTTACAGCAAGCACTCTTTAAGAAAAATATCCACTACACTAAATAGGTACTATAGTAATTTTTAGACATGGTACCCGTTGATATGCATTTAAACGTTTTACTGCTGTGTTATGTTGATAACATATATAAATATTAGATAATGCTAATGCTTCTGCTGCTGTCTTTTCTGTAATATTCTCTTTCATGCTGAATTTACTATGACCATTTATAAGCAGTGCAGTTAACTACAGATAGCATTTCAGGACAAAATAGATGACTCAAACCATTTATTGCTTAAAAAATAGCTTATGCCATGCCATGCTATGCTATGAGCAGCTTTTATGCACATTGACAAATGAAGAGTAAGCTTCAGCTTGCTAAGGGAAACTGTGGAAACTTTTGTAACTTTTGGTGAAATGGAAAATTACAAACTGTCAAAGAATATGAGGAAGTTTGCTGTATGACATAGTGCTGGCACTGATATTATCCATCATCTCGTTTTGGACACTCCTGTAAATGTGACTGGATTGTTTGAAAGAAGATTTAAAGATTTGAAGTTTGAAAGATTTTGTTTTGTATTTTGTTTTGCATTTGGAGAAAATAATCGAAGGCAGGACTTGTTCCATTCACTCTGAAAGAACCATAAGTAAATGGTATCTCTGAATAGCTTGTTAAGAATCAAGCAAGTGACATGAATTTTGTTCAATCCATTAATATCCTAGAAGCATTTTTTCAGAGTCTATAGCAAAATGTTWAAAAAAAATCCTATACATGAAGCCAAAATAGACCTATGAAAGCATTTCATGATAAGCACCAGAAAGACTATTTAAAGATGGTCTCTTGCTACCCATTACTGCACAGATCACAGCTATTTCTCTAAATAGTTATTGGGGAACCSACATGCCAAAATCAATACTATTCACATTATTCCTACAAAAAAATTCTACTTCAACATATGTATGTAACCTGTGATCTCAACKATTGTTCTATATACTCGTCACCTATCATTTGGCCCTTTATGGGCTAATAAGTATGCCTTAAAAATAAGAAACTATTTTTTTTCTTTTAAACCCCACTATGCTCATGTGGCCATTTGCAACACTTAGAACAAAAACAGATTTAAAAATATTCAGTGGAAATTTTATTGGAAAGAAAATGGTTATATGAGACATTTGGTGAAACTGAAGAGAAAACTTAGTGGGTCATTAAAATATGTTTTAAATGAAAGTCATATTGAGGATTTTTTTYYYYTYCYTTTTTTTTGTTCCTTTTTTTCTTTTTATATTCTAACTCTAGTCAGTCAGTGAGGAAGAATTAGGCCATGAGTTATCTTAAGGGATCAAAGAAAGAAATGGCATTCATTATATAATATTTAAGGACAGACTACATATTGCTGTTTATGGTAGTGACTCACTGAACTAAATAAGTAATTGGCCTACAGAAAATATATTTCCAATACAGAAGGGTTCAAAATATTGCATTATAAACTCTTTTGGGAAATGTATCAACTTTTTTTGTTTTTATTTTTTATGTTTGGATTTTATTCTACTTTTTGTTTGGTTGTATTTTTATGTTTTTTTAAATTTTCAGGTAGATTAATAAATCTGGCAGCTGATTTCTGCAAGATTCTCGTGTTTTGAATTTCTAATTGAATTGGCTATTCTAACATAGAAATTTGAAATAATGTCTTCTTTCCCCTTTGTAAGATAAACTAAATGGAGTATCTCCACTAGTATTCACTGCCTCTTGTTGATGACATGCTAATATCCAACAGATTAACTACAAAGAATTTTATATCTCAAATAACTAATGAAAAAATGCTTTTTCTCAATTTATACCTATTTAAATATACCTGAAAACAAAAATACACAAAGCAGGCAATGCAGAGCATTTTTCTCAAATCACAGAAGAACCTTAGAGATCAGTTTCCTGAAGATATTCTGTAAGTTATAGTAACTTTAGTAATTCAACACAAGATTATTCTAGTTCTGGAAATACGAAGTCTAACATTAGCCTATAGAGCCAAAACCAAGGTGTTTTAGGGCCAGTTCTTAAGCCAAGATGTCTGTAGGACTGGCTCCTTTTGGAGGCAATCCTTGTTGTCCCTGCTTCAGGAGGCTGCCAGTATCTCTTGGCTCCTACCTATATCATGTCAATCTCTATTTCACTAGTTACATCCCTTCTATAGTCAAATCTTCTTCTGCAATCTTAAGGATACCTGTGATTATACTTAGATTTTACCAGCTAACTCAAGCTTATCTCCCCCATCTCAAGATCCTTATTCACATGTGCCAAGTCCCTTTTGCCAGAGAAATTTTTCATAGGTTTTGGGGATTAGCATGTGGGCATGGGAGGGGACCAAGGAAACCTGTTATCCAGCCTAATATAATGAAGACCCTGTGTAGCAAAAATGCTAACTTATTTACTCAAGGACAAAGAAAAGTTCTATCAAGGAATCTAAGTTTAGTATTATGAAATGTTTCCATTTACTATTAAGATACTCTGACCCTTATACTTCATAGTTTTGAAAGCTTGCTATATTAAAGTTTACTATTCCACTAGTCCATCTGATAATCACTTCAATTTATTATATTATTCAGATCACCCCTTCACTGCAGGTAAACATTGTATAATGAGGGGGAAAAAAAGGAAGATGTGATAATAACAGTAATAGCACAGTTAATCTTTTACAAGTCAGATTATATTTTTAAAATAAATTTCTTTTACTGTTATTATGAGTAGTTATTCTATGATCTTAACATTTGCAAATGATTCCTTCTTATATGGTAAGAACAATACATAGACTATGTCTCTTGTTAATTAAAGGAACAGTTGTAAAAATGTCTAACTTGTCTTTATATGACAAGGAAAAAAATTTATTGCTCGATGTTATAGCAWTTGGACAGATCGCAGGAGTTTCTAAATTAAGGCACTCTTATCTATTATGAAAAGCAGTTCAGAGCTTATAGTGACAAAACATTACAGAGAAGAAGGCCATTTGAATTTTTATTACTTCGAATCTTAAAATAAAAAGTTAAAATTAAAAAAAAATGAAATGAGTAAGCTATTTTCCCATTGCTGTTTGGTACAAAAAGGGGAGAATTAGAGTTATTAAAAACCATACAATTTGAATAAAAATAATGTTAGGAAGAAATTTAAAGAAGACTAATGTACATATTGTGTAATTGTGATAAGAATTGCATATAAGTCAAGTTTCAGAAAGGTATTTGTGTTGGACAAAACACAAGAATTTGACTCGGACTGGGGGGGGGGGACCCACAGGAGGTTGGGAGGGGCCACCTGGCTGCCTCCTGGGGACTTTGGAGAGCTAATCTAATTCATTTAGAACTCAACTAGCAATTTTAGGGCTTGATTTTTCTTTGAAAGAGACATTTTAAAAGTTTATGGAAAAGTATAGTTTAAGAAGAAAGTTTGATTAGACTAGTGTATGGCTTTATAGAAATACTGATGATTTTAGAATGTTCAATTAAAAGTGTATATAAGCTTGACTTATGAATTCATATGTAAGGTAGGTTTTCTTTTTGCATATACATAGACTCCAATATTCTTATTTGGTTCCATTCTAAAATTATATTTATGTTTCTATGGGAAATAAATTTTTTTAATTCACTTGGTTGTATTAAAATTATATTTACAGTTTGAGAAAACATGCTATGAAATTCATGTAATTACAGCAAGTTAAATATGCTCAAAATTGGAATCTAAAATAAAAGTCTAGAAATGGAAAATATGGAACTGTCTTGATCACTCTGAATAGTGGCACATTTAAACTGACAAATGTAATCTAAAGTTTAAACTGCATTCTAATAGTTTTAGATCATTTCAATAATTTATGACCAAATCATTTGAGTGATGTCTTTGCACTACTTCTATCATTTTTTTTCCCATTCACTTTCTGGATAATTTAGATACTAGGACACATGGTAAATTTTGTTTTTCCAGTTCTGTGTTCCRATTTCTTAAAATATTCTTTCATTTAATCCCTTTGATAAATGTATCAGGAAGACCTTTTAGGAAGAGAATTATCTAAATCATTTCAGTAAGTCCTTTAGGCCAAACACCATGGAAACATGATTTATATTACTGCTTCCATCCTTCCTGGCTTTGTCCAATGAGAAGCTGAAGCTAATGGCAAAAATGAAATGTCATTGTGTTAAGATACCATGTGATCAAAGGCAAGTTCATAACTTGGACCTAGATGCTTCACTGATGTAACTCTTAATCACTAAATGTSTATTACAATGACTCACATTTTGCAGAAGCACGGATTATTAAAAATTTTTAAAAGTTTTTTAATATTTTTTATGCAAAAACCTAAAAAGGAAATCAAGCACTGCTTATTTAAATAACAGAAGCAAGGAATCATAGATTTAAGTAAAAATTTTAAATTTCTGAAAGCATTTAGAAAACAAAATGATTAAAGTACCACTCTTTTTCCTATCAGAGAAGGATACAGCTTAATAATAATTCCTGTGCAAAAAAAAAAAAAATCTTCAGAAAGTCAAACACACTGCCTCCATAATTTGCATTATTTATTAAACATGACTTCTGAAAACAAGAATTCTCAGAAAAAAATTATGATGCCTAAATGTTTCAAAGTCACATGACTCAGAAGAAACAAAAACTGTTTTATAAAGTAGAAAGTAGAACTAAAAGAATAGAAATTATTTTATAAATAAATGCATATTAATTTTTAATATCATTTCTGCAAAGGGGGCTATGACATTCTTATATAAATTGTAAAGAACCTCTTTGTCCTATAGGAAATTTAAAATGTGAATTTAACTGGCAGCTTTGGTGAAATTAAAAAGTAAAATAATGCATGTGACATTACTTCTTAAACTGCAAAATATTATTTTATTTTAATTAACCACAGAAATCTTTCTTAACTCTTAAAAATAGTCTTAAATATTTATTTTTAAACAAAACTTCTCATTCTTTATAAAAAATTGTGGTAAAATATACTGAACATAACGTTTGCTACTTTAGTCATTTTTAAGTATACAATTCAGTGGCATTACTTACATCCACAGTGTTGTGCAATCATCATCCCTTCTTCCCCAAATGTTTAGATTTTTATTCTTAGTTAAAATATTATTAAAAATACTACAGGCAATACTTAGTTGTGCATTAAACATTATACACTAGGATCAGAAATGTAAAAAAATGCAACTTTATGTTTCTAATAATGTAATTGTTGTTCATTTACTAATAGGTTGGCTTTGATTTTTATACTGTAGCTCGATAGCTTTTTTAAGGAAAAAGATAAGTACTGTGTATAAACACTATTTCTACATAGCTCAATAATTGTGGCAAGAAAAAAGTACATTCAAATAATTAACTTATCGGGTATTTTGGAACAACTCAACATTTTAATTTATGTTAATAAATACAAAAAGTCTCTTAAAACAAGTCACATGAAAAAAATATTTTGTACTCATGCTTTCTTTAGTTTGAATTGACATATTTGATTAACATATCATATAGACATGAACATATTGAAGCTATAGTCTATGATTAAACTCTTTAAGACAGTGATAATTTCAGACAACATTCTTAAAGAGAAAATTCTCAAACTGAAACATATGCTGTATTCATGCTAATATTTAATTAAGGTGAAATTAAGCTAACAAGATAAATGGAACCTCTCCCTACCACCTCTTCACCATATTTTTTAGCCTGAGCACTATATTAACACAGCAATTGAATATTTTTCTAACTTTTCAAAGTATTTAATATTCCTTTCAAAACCTGTCCCTTATGGTACTTAATATCATAAATTAAAGTATCTTAATTAGAATCATTTACTATGGATTAAACTTYTGGTTCTTGATTGAAACATTCATTCATCTGGAGAGACCAGATTCTCTTATTTTGTGTAATTTTCCCTCAAATATGTAACACCAGGCCAAAAGAAGTTGTATTCCAAATTGATAGTTCTTTGCCTTTGTTTTGCAGGTGCATACTACAAATAACCTAAAAATGGTCATTCAAATAAATTTGTAACTTAGCTCTGAAATTTAGTGTCAAGAAAATTATGAAATAGAATAAACTGGAAAAAGTTTCTTCCCCAGAATTAGTTATTTTCACAAAAAAAACTTTGATATGTACAACTCCTGAGGCATACTTCTACAACCAAAACAAAGAGAAACATGAAAATAAATATTTAGATAATTTAGATCCTAAAAGAGAAAAAACAAATATTGTGTATTGAATCATTTACTCATATTAGAATAGACTTTGGATTAATCATTTCAATGTACTCTGGGTTGGGAAATACATTTATTTAATAACTCAAGAGCCCCAAATGCAAATATTCTACAAACTGGTATTAAACATTGCTATAAAATCAGTTGATTATACGTTTTCTGGGTCCAAATTAAATGCATAAGTAGACTTTGGAAGATACAATGATTTGTAAAAAATGATTCCTTTCTTCAAACTAAAAAAGGCAGCCCATGTATATCTAAACACAATAATATATGGGGTATATCATTTAGTGCCAAATAATGTGCTTTAGACCCTGTGCAAAAGAAGTGCAACAAAGAAGTAGATTACATCTTGCTTTTGACAATGAAAGACAAGGATACTTTCATTCAAATATGTGAGTGTTTAAGTTCATTCACACCTATTGCTATGAAATGAAACATTTAATTAATCACTAAGTGTAAGTGTATATAGTACCTAATGCAGCAGAGTGTGAAAATTTAAAAATGAAGCAGGGCAGGTTGCTTACTTTAACATCTTGACTGCCTTGAACCTGAGCATCTTGATTAAATGCATTGATTAAATGCCTGCTTGCTGTGTACATGTACACACTGGGATTCCTCACTGTGCTGTGTTAGTTGTTTGTGGGTTCTAAGTGACAGGAACCACTATTTTTGGTATGTTGCCAACAACTGGCCCTACCACTGATGCTCACAAAAAGTGATAGACATGATTCACATGATCCGTCTAACCATGGGTGATGCCAGCCCTCCATCTGCTTGTACGCTGCAATGACCATTTTATAGCATGAAGCCCAAAAGTTGGTACATGTCAGTATCCAAGGTTAGCTAGGATAGTTTTTGTTCACCAGGGATGGTCTCAGCTTAMACCTATTATTCCAGAATATTATTAGCAGTGCCCACTTCTATCTCAAAGTTATGAAAAATAAATTCACTCTTTATCTGAATTCTAGATAAATAGTTCTATATAAGCCTGGTAAAATACTTACCTTGGGTAGCTTTGTTGAAGAACCTGTTATGATCAAATCATCACACTATCTGCCCTGGATAAAATTGATCTGTACTTTTTTTCTGTTCTCTCTATATGGTGGTCCTCAACAGTTATTATGAATTCTGTTCTTATWTTAACACACTTTGTAATTTATCAGTCAAGGAATGACAAGAATTTATAGGAATTAGAGACATATGCATCTGGGCTTGTGTGAGGTTWAATTGAATATATTCTAAGGCTTATGAACTGTAGACATGTCCTTGTGAAAAGGAATACAGCACTATTCTGCCCATTTTAATCAGAAAAGCAACTTACTTACCAGAATGAACATGAGTAGGTGGCACAATTRATGGAAATGATAGAACGTAGCTTTAAAACTACAAAGTCCCAGGACC